AGAGAGAGAGAGAGGAACTGGAAGGGAAATGATTGCTGGCTAAGGAGACCAGGTAACAGAGTTAATGTCGCATTACGGCGTAGACTGCACAAGAACGTGGATTGTTCCGGTGTGTACCAGGGCCAGGATAAAACGTCGGAATGACGGAGACCAGCGAGGAGGCCAGAGTAAGAGGCCAGAGAAGTATTTCTGCCTAAAGTAAACTCGGTTGCACCTGCTCTGATTAGACGTGTTCCGCACTTACTTAGCGATACGATTGCCCGATAACAGACCGAATTGCCAGGAAAGATCGTAGATACAATCGAACATTCCGTTTCGCATAAACGAGAAACAAATTGGCAGCGTTCCTCTTGGATCGCTACCCCTGGATCTCGATAAGATAACGCGCCCGCTGCTCGGCGGTTTATAAATTTTCAGCGATTTCATGTCCTCCTCCTGACCTCGAGAGATTATCCGGCCACTTACACACGCCCGATTATTCTAATCACCGATCTATCCTTGCACGTAAGAAACTCGTTATTCCTGTATGGAAGCATGAAATGGAATTGCCTCGTGATCGATGAATTGATCCGGTGCATGCTCGTGGGACATCAGCCGAATTGAATATTGAAAAGACGCGTCGCGTCGCGTCGCTTCCGTGAGTAATGCGGAGAATCATTTTGGTAACTATGCCGGGCTATGTACAGCTCTATTTATATCGCAGGATAAACCGAAATTTATAAGGCAATTTTGTTTGTGAAATTTGTTGGACGAAACTACGAAGTTATGAGATTCTAAATGCGGTAAAAGTACAGTAATGTTTTTCTAATTGACGTTCAGATTTTCCACAAAAGTGGACAATTTGGGAAGAGGGGACACGATTATTCGAGCCTTGCGGTTCGTTTTTATAGTTACGAATTGTTAACTATAACACAACGAGGAGCAAAACACGAATAATCGTATTTCCTCTTTCCAAATTGTCCATTTTTGTGCACAATCTGAGCGTCAGTTAGGGAGACATTACTGTATTTCGAAAATATATTTTTGGAGGTGTCGTCTATAGCCCTATTTCGATCGCAGATGAAACAATATTTTAGAGGTTAAGTTTGCAATATTTGTGAAATTTATTGTACATTACTAAGCATTTATTTATTTATTTACTTAATTATTTTGAGTTTTAAGTCGCATTAAACAGCTATGGTTACGAGCGACTTTACATTTCACGTTTCCTGCATATCGTAATTATCTATGCACATTATCGTATTATACAGCACACGATGTACTTATAACGCTTAAAAATATCGAAAACGAAGCTTCACGTTACACCGTACGCTGTTAAGCAATGTTTGCACATTTTTCTTCTGAAACAGTGCAAGTATGTTAATTAACGGAGCATGCCTAACCCAGTTTGGCATGCGTGTCCATAGTTCGGTATAATGCAAACTCGCATGACACGATAATTTTCGTAACATAATTACTCTGTTAGCGTAGTAGTTGCGAGACGCTTCATGGGGTATTTTATGGAGTATCTTGGGTGACCTAAAGGGACTTCGGGCTTTCACGAGCAAAGTTACCCCAACGTTCCGAAACCATGGCAACGAACTCCGTCAGGTGTCAAGTGGCATATTAATAGTGTTTCTTGTGTGTTGATTTATTACCAAAACATATTATGCTTGTTTTTAGCACCGGTAATCGTCGACCAATGATTTTCATGGAATATATTACAGCACAGATTGTAATAAATCATATTCGCTACTACGATGCGGTATAATACACCGCAACAATATAATAGATTTTCCAACAATTTCGTCAAATAATGTACAGTTCAACTTCTACAATAAATTATATTACATTCCAGATTATGTGATAGGCTTCGTCAGTATGTTTGATAACAGATGTTATATCTGTCGACATCTAGATCTACAAGTATGGAATTAATCTCGTAACAGATGATCATGTAACATGCAATCATATACGTGCTATAGATTTTTATTATTTAAAGGGTGGAAGCTTCACAATGAAGATAAAAACGAGTCAAATTCGTGTGTTATAAATATTGTAATATCTTTCCTTTCTAAACAAATTTGTGTCCGACGATAATTGAAGCGCTTGAAATTTTGAAAGAAACACTTAACGCTATTTATTTAGACAACGCGTTATTCAAATGTGAAACAAAACTTTCGGTACAATAAACAAAGATCGCAAAAGTTAGGTAATATACTAAATTATAAAGAGAAAGATTTTTGTCATCACTAACGTATAATAACTTCTATTTGCATACAAATTCGTTGTCCACTTATTACTCATTAATACTATTATCAACGCATAAAATCCTAAATGTACTTAATATTAAAGAAAAAATACCGTATATATTATTAAAACGTCAGATTTTATATAATTTAAATATGAAAACAAAATTTGATGAATAAATTACGCTTGAATAACTCAAAGCATAAAATAGAATGTTTCAATGTGGATCCCCAAATACATTTTTCAACAAAGAAAACATATTGTTATCGACGTCGGAAGTAAAACTTAATTTCCATCGTATAAAATGAAGATATTTTCAACGTCTTGTAAACAAAATACTATTTTAAAAACGTACGGTTACGAATAAGGCCTTTTATTTTCAAAGTTCCACGATCAATTAACTTCTTATTGGGCCGCATGTGTCACAGACAAACTAAATTAATAAAGAACAATTTTGGTCCGTATAAACTTTGTTAAATTCGTAACTATGTTTCATTCTCTATGCATGCACAAAAGCTTCGACCACAAGGGGCGTTAATTTTCTCCCGACAATCAAGAGTGGACAAGTTTAACACATTGCGTGCAGCGTCGCGTCGGTCACATGCGGGTGACATTAATTGTTCACTAGTTCTCAAAAATTATTTTTATTGCGATATATTCGAACCGAGAGACTGAATTCCACGAAGATGGAATGTTTAAAATGCAACAACGTTTCAAATATACCATACACTACGATCAATTTTAACTCTCTAATTTCAATTTCATGAATTAAATTACTTTGATTGTTTGGGAACTTTTTTGTCGTTGATTTTCAGTGCTTCACGTGTTAAAAATTGATTTACAGTTCTGGATTGACATATACATAGAGATGAAAGTATTTGCGCGCTAAGAGGTTAAAGCAAGATAGACCGTTCGCTATTTCAATCGAACAACAATTCACTCGAATAAATTATTCATTCTTTATTTGAAATTCGACTGGTATTTTTATTTCGCTTCTTCGCTTTGTATATATGTATTCTTCTCGCATTCCAGGTCCTAACAGAGCAAAAGTAATCAGCAATGCATGCATTATTTGAACGATGAATCACTTAAGTAAATAGACTGCTTTGTTACAATTAATAATTATAATCCCGGAGCGGCATTCGACACAAGAAGAAAAGATTCGATAATTATGTAGTCGAAACTAAGAACAACCAAGTTTGAAGTTGGAACAAAAATATCTTTTCTGAAATTACAACATAGTACTCGCAATCGCTAGATTCGAGAAAAAGAAATTTTAATGTTGAATAAAAATAAATAAATGAACATTCTATCTCTTGGTATTTTCCTCGAAGGTTGTTAAATATCAAAGACAAATTATTGAAACGTTTTAAACCAATTGTTAAACAGCGATGATAATCGCGATTTTAAAGCAACGAACTATCTTGTTAATGTTGAATAAAAATAAATGAATGAACATTTTATCTCCTGATATTTTTCTCGAAGGTTTTTAAATATCACAGACAAATTATTAAAACGTTTTAAACCAATTGTTAAACAGCGATGATAATCGCGAGTTTAAAGCAACGAACTATTTTGTTAATGTTGAATAAAAATAAATGAATGAACATTTGATCTCCTGGTATTTTCCTCGAAGGTTGTTAAATATCAAAGACAAATTATTAAAACGTTTTAAACCAATTGTTAAACCTGTCTCTTATACACATCTAGATGTGTATAAGAGACAGGTTTAACAATTGGTTTAAAACGTTTCAATAGTTTGTCTTTGATATTTAACAACCTTCGAGAAAAATATCAGGAGATAAAATGTTCATTCATTTATTTTTATTCAACATTAACAAGATAGTTCGTTGCTTTAAACTCGCGATTATCATCGCTGTTCAACAATTGGTTTAAAACTGTCTCTTATACACATCTAGATGTGTATAAGAGACAGTTTTAAACCAATTGTTAAACAGCGATGATAATCGCGAGTTTAAAGCAACGAACTATCTTGCTAATGTTGAATAAAAATAAATGAATGAACATTTTATCTCCTGGTATTTTCCTCGAAGGTTGTTAAATATCAAAGACAAATTATTGAAACGTTTTAAATCAATTGTTGAACAGCAATGATAATTGCGATTTTAAAGCAACGAACTATTTTGTTAATGTTGAATAAAAATAAATGAATGAACATTTGATCTCCTGGTATTTTTCTCGAAGGTTGTTAAATATCAAAGACAAATTATTGAAACGTTTTAAATCAATTGTTGAACAGCAATGATAATTGCGATTTTAAAGCAACGAACTATTTTGTTAATGTTGAATAAAAATAAATGAATGAACATTTTATCTCCTGATATTTTTCTCGAAGGTTTTTAAATATCAAAGACAAATTATTAAAACGTTTTAAACCAATTGTTGAACAGCGATGATAATCGCGATTTTAAAGCAACGAACTATCTTGAGCAATATGATCGAACAACTTTGAGACGATACATTACGCAGCACTGAGGTGGTACTTAACTGGCAGCTGGTATCTTGAAAATCTGAACTTGTCACAGCTTCGCGCCGGGAACAGTGCGAGAAGAATGCACACAGAGTGTGGTATCGACTACTGTCTGTAGAATCGCACGGTAATTCCCACACGACACGAACGATACGTAGAAGGGCGGTACCAGACACGAGCCCGTGGCACTGGGTATTCTCCCCTTGCACCACTTTGCTACCCCTTAGAGACCTTCTCAGTTTGTGAGCGAAATTCTCAGCGGATCCTGCTTACGGTCGTTTTATCCGCCCGTTTCCAAAGTGATCCTCTCGTCCCGCGTCGCGTAATCCATTTGATCATGTTCGTGCAAGCGCCGGCTTTGTTGGTCCAGCAGAGATCAGAAAATTCAGAGGAAGAAAGTGACGAGGAGAGCACTGGCGATGTCCTTCAGGTTTAGCATTTTCTACTTCTTCATCGTTCCGCCTTTGCGATTTAAAGTCCATCGCGAATTCTTCCCCTTGAGGAGTTTAAGTGGGACATTTATTCGCTTCACTGGATTGTTTGCATATCTCTTCACTCTGTTCGTTTAGCACCGCATTTAACCCTTTGCACTATAATATTGTGTCACAAGGGATGATGTCTAACCATCTCTGATTCAGAAAATTCTGAAACTTAGGAGCTATGTAGAGAATATGTAGAGGGCACGTATTACGCAATTTTTTTCCTCTTACGTAAATTCGTTTTAAGAGATGCAAATTAACTCCCAAATATTCGTCTGTTTCTTTTATTTTATTGCTATAATCCGCAAACTGTGCAAGATAAAAAGGGAGTTTTCGAACAAAAGTAAGTCCTTTTGTTCAAATCTATCATGTAATATACGAAAAATACTGAATTGTCTAAATTGTTTAAACAATTAACAAGTCGTATATCACATGGCAAATTTGGATTAAAAAAGTAACTTCTTTTTTAGATTTCTTTCTATCTTGTACAGTTCGCGAATTATAACAATAAAATAAATAATAGCCGCTATCGATTTATTCAAGTTATGAAGAAAAAAAGTAACTTTCTATTCGTTTCTCTTTCTTAAAACAGATGCAAAGAACTCTTACTTTCATAAACGCTTGAAGTGTGCTTTGTGTTTTATCTGTCCACATGAATGTTATATACATATATTTTTTTTAATCCAAATGAACTACCACGATTCCTGTTTCTTTCTTCTTAGAGGTCATTCTTCTAAAGTATCTTCAAATCATATCTCATTTTTATTTAAAACAATCTTCTATGATTTGGTAATAAGATATTTTTTCCTTCTTTGTATATTTACGAAATTAATATTTTGGTTAATCGAAACCTGTATAATTAATTATAATCTTTTTTCTATAATCTTTTTATCGTTTAAAGTAACTGACTTTATCATTAGCAATTGCAGATGTAAAGTCCAGTTTTTTTATTATCAAATTGATTAGAATCTTTCTAATAATTACCTTATAAAGAATTGAAATAGGCTTTTATTATTTTGTCGAGTATTTTCACAAACTTGAGAAGAAAATGCAACAGAAATTGATTCCATCGAAGTGTTCAGTTTACATGAATATTTCCAGTAAGCTTCCTCAGATTCTGTAAAATATAAAATAAAGGAAATCGAGGAAATTGATGATATTAAAAAAAATAATTAAAAATACTCGAGTAAACGCTGGAAATCTGCTTCAACGTTCGACGTCCGAACGAACACAATCCTTTAAACGCGCTTAATCGTCGTAACTTTTCTCTTAAGAAACGCCGAGAAGAATGCGAAAGAAAAGCGAGGCGAGGGGAGATGGATCCCCGGCTAGAATTCGCTTTCCAGCTTTTAATGGACGCGACACAATTGTCCCGTCACGAGGTTATGGATCACGTTTTCGAGGGAGACATGCTCGACGAAATCAATCAACTGTTCCTGCCGCACATGAGGTCAACCCTCGTCTGGTATTATCAAGAGGTGGAGGAAGCGGAATCCGTACGACCACCGGAAATTGTAATTAAACAATTTAACACAATTTTTTCTAGTTTTGATAACTACCAGGGAATTATTACTTGACACGATGATACCTTCTCTCACATTTTATTGTCGATAGCATCGTTAAAATCGCGTAATTTTATCGCGTGTTTTATCAATCGTTGCTAATATCAGAATTCTCTATTATTCAAATATGGCAATTATTTCTCGATAATGATATGCGGCGGATCAAAAGCGTATACATTTTACATTAGACGAAAATGTGCTGGTTAAATTAAAATGAAATTATGTCACAGATCGCTTTTGAAAAAAGAATATATTACTTTTTAAATCGCAACAAGGCATGAAAGCATCAAATAGAAAAGACACGATTCTTCTCGTATACACTGACAGACACGCAATTTGCTTACCCAGATGCAGACAAAAGCTTCGAATGCCAGATCTGGCCCGAATGCTCCAGCGCCGAAGATTAAAGAGACAAAAGAAGCCAAAGAACCGGCGAGGAAGAAACTTTTCTTGACGGACGGATGGCAAGTCCCTTGTACTGGAATATGTATCTACATGTTTAGGTAATTTCTAAAAATACCACGTTACAATGGCTGCTCGATAAGTGACGTTTAGGTACAGGTTTCTACAGAACTGATTAGTTATCGAGCAGCCAATCGGTACGCCGCGCACTTAAAGGGCTTCTCTTTATCGAGCATTCGCTATGTCACTGCTGTGAAATTAGTTAACTATTTATTGCAAAGATGCATAGCTTTGTTTTTCTATTTACTTACCCTTTTTTCTATTTGCTATACTACACTCCGGGACAAAAATATAGCACGCTTGAAAATTAACATAATTTTTAGTTCATTTAACATTTCACTCAAGGTTTTTAGACAAACTTTTGCGCTATAAACATACACTAATGAAGCGGAATTGAATTTTGACAGTTTAAACAATTTTATTTGAAAATAAAGGAATTTTTATGGAAATATGATGCGATTAAAATGATAGCACATTTACATGAAAGTTATTTATGCTATATATAATTTGTATAGTATACGTAATTTTTATCTGAATCCGCTATCATTTTGTCGCACTGCATTTTCATATAAATTCTTAAACAATACATAATTTCAAATTTTATCAGAAATAAATATTTTTTGTAATGTGTGTACCTATTGCTAGAGAAGAATTTCTTTGTAGAATCAGCGTGTCGAAACAGTTGCCCGAGGAAGGCTTCCAAAAGGATCTTTACACGGGCGTGATAGACACGAAGAAGGTGGGAATAGTAACAGCGATACAACGAGTGGTTGAACATGTCTTTATGGACGCTCTTGCGCATCCAGGCTCCGAAGGCGAAGACGACTGTCCGATGATTAAATGTCTTTTGCTGCCTGGCTTGAGATCTTTCTGCAGTGCTTTGAAAGGTATCCGCTTCGTCTTCAAAGTCGCTTACTCAATTTATTTATTATATACACAATAATACATGGTACACAATAATTTTTCGTTATTTCCTCGCATTTTAATCCCGTTTCACTCAGCTCGGAAATATTTACATTAATACCAAGAACTCTCGTTGTCTCAATTCTTCAAATATTTTGTTTTTAATATACTTATTCGCATCTTGACTTTATGGCCTAGACTTATTATTATATTAGACTAATATATTATATTATATTAGATATATACTTATTATATTAGATATATACTTATTATTATATTGTATTAGATTATAATATATTATATTACATTATAATATACTATATTAGACTAATATATTATATTATATTAGACTAATTCTTATTTTATAGAAGTCTATATTTTAATTTTGGAAATGCTTCGATGAAAATAAATCCTACTAGTGAATACCTTAATTCAGATTATTTATACGAATACATACATATTTATGAAGTTGTCCTGGAATAAGTTACCATTTTCCAGGTCCGTCGCACTTAGAATGATTATACATTAGGGATTTTTAATGGATGTTCATTATATTATAATATATCATTTGATAGCGTAATTATCGCTCTATCATTTAGTTTCTCGTTTCGTTTCTATCATCAGTTACATTTTTGTTTTACGCGTTTATTTCATCTGAGAAGAACTCGTGTAATTACTACGAAATAAAACTCGTCTGCATTGGTTGTAAAATTCTTTCCTTAATCATTAAAAAATAGAAATTGGAAATAATAGAATAGTATTCGTAAATTCTTTGAACGTTTTCACTGTTTTACATTTCATTTACTCGCTATCGTCATGAACGCGCGAAGTCCACAGTCATTGCCGAGCGTGCATTGTTTCCAATGATTTTAAGATAGGACGTACTATACTAAAAACTGCATCTGACATTAATCTTGCAGTTTATCATAAAGATACAAGTAAACAATGTAGCAACGATTCGAGGCATTTAATAAGCAAAGGAATAATTTCTTAATATTTGCGATTACAGTGAATTCTCCCCAATCGTCCCTCAGCTTAATATGGACAATTTGGGAAAAGGAGATACGATTATTAGAGCATCGCGGCTCGTTTTTGTAATGCTTGACAATCGGCGACTATAAGAACGAGCCGCAACGGTCGCATAATCGTATCTCCTCTTCCCTAATTGTCCATTCTTGTGTACAAGCTGAGTGTCAATTAGGAAGAATTTACTATGCTTTTAGAAGTGGCGAAACTAACGGAGATTATTTCTGCCAAAACCACGATTTATTTATCTTTTCCTCCGAGGTTAAATCTGCCCAACTTCGTTGGATTGTTGCATTGTTGCAGTTTGCGAACAGGTGGCCCACGAGGGACGCATATTCGAGAACGGTGAGATGCTGATGGGCTGTGTGCACAACTTCGAGGAAGCGAAGGCGTTCGTGGCAAAGGAGAACGCCGTGAGTACCGTTGAGGAGAGGGTTGAAAGCTGGATCAAAAGGCTGAAGGACTTCATGGCGGAAAGTAAGCAGGTGAAACGGGAGAACGACAATTCTGGGCCGCAGCAGGAGCTCGAGTATTGGAAGCGAAGAGGGGCACAGTTCAGTCAACTCGTCGATAAACTTCAGGTTCCACTGTTGCGTTCCGTTTTCTTCTCGAGAGACGCCGACGTAAACTAAAAACATCCTTCCCGTGTCTTTCCTGAAGGACCATGAGATACAAATGTCGTTGCTGTGTCTTCAAGTCGCACGCTCCAAGTTGATCAAGGACTGGGTCGACGCCGAAGACGAGGTCACTTATTGTTACAACGAAGCCAAGGACAACGCCAAGTTCATCCAGGCTTTGGAAAAGTGCTGTCACTGTTTGTACCTGGACGATCCGGTGAGATCACTGATTTAGACCGCGGATCTATATGCGTTTACAGTGTTCGCACATTTTTCGCATTGCTGAATGATGCGCGTATCGAGAGATCTACCAAATCGGTACTAAACTAGTGAAGATGATCGTTTATTTTATGGTTACCGATATTATAAAAATATTTCCGTGAGAAATCTCTTGACAAGAGAAAGAGAGAAGAGAGAGAGAGAGAGAGAGAGAGAGAGAGAAGAGGTAAAGGTGCCTATTATGAGAACCACTTTTCTTTTTAAATCATATCTTCAATTACAAACACTTTTATTAAAAGTAGACGCATGTTTGAAAACTAAAATATGTATTCTAATATGTATTTTGAAGCAAAAAGAATGGAAATTTGTGTGAAACTGTTAAACAAACCAATTTGAAGCTTTCGTTGGAATGTAAATTATTCATTTGTTCGTTGTTTACGTATTTTGGAAATTTGTTATTTCGAGTTCGTGTAAAAATATAGTTAGATGTACACGAGACAATGACTTCGCTATTGTTCCGTTAGGTAAAAATGCGGGATTCTCTGGTGTCATTGTTGCAAACGGTTCGCTTGATATACAGCGTGTCGAGATATTACAACACCTCGGAGCGAACCAGCTCGTTAATGATAAAGATCACGAACCAAATGATCGTGGCTTGCAGGGAGTACGTCACCAATCGAGGCCGCGAAACAGTCTGGGGTCAAGATCGAGCAGCAGCCCGATCGAAGCTGAAGCATTGCTTAAGACTGAACAAGTAATGGTAAAATTTTGATGTCAAGCGTACTCGTTCGTCTTCCCCGAGCAGAAAAGAACGATAAAGGTCGTCGCGTTTGTGAAGGGCTTACAGGGAAACCTACAGGCTGGTCCGATGCTCGCCGGCTGTCACCGAACAGGAGTTCTCGTTCTCGGAAACCCACGTGTTCGGAAGATTCGACTCGTTCTGCGACAGGATCAGAAAGATTTTGACCATGTTCGAACTGATACAGGACTACAAGAACTTATTCGAGAGGCGAATGGAAGGCCTACTGTTGGGAGAAGGTATGGAAGACATTTTAACCCTTTGACTGCTAATAATTACGATAGTCTGAAAATGAAGATTTTTGATTTCTTAAAATCTGTATCGATGCAATCTTTTGTTTTTGAATTTTTGAACTTCATTTAAACAGACCGGTTATTTCCAACGTTCTATCGTTTTGTACTTTCTTTAATTCCTCGCTATACATCGGCAAGTCTAACTCTGTTATTCTGTTTTCTTGTCATCATTATTTAATTTATATTTAAATAAATATCAGTACACGATGAATATAAATTTTCTTTTGCTTCTAAGAAATTATTGTAATCGAAAAATCTCTAATTATTGTAACTAAATTTTAAAAAAAAGCATCATCGAAGAAAGTTGATTAATGTAATTAGTAAGAAAAGTTACTTACCAAGATTCTTTTTAGTTTATTAATTCTCTAAGATGGATTGACTTTATTTTTCCTCAAAAACAATCTAATTAAGCTTATTTTTCATTGGGACAGCGTTGGACGAGGCGATAAGAACTTTCGAGGAAGCTGAGAAAATAGCTACCACCAAATCCTACGACTATTTGGATGCGAGAAATACAGTGTTCGACACTGACTACGATGACTTCATCGCCAAGACCGACGCTCTGAAACAGAATATCGGCAGCATCATCGTGAAAAATTATGCTGACGTTTGGGAAACGCCTCAGGGTATACGATTTTTAACACGGTTCGAAAAAGTGAAGTATCGTGTTTCGCAAAAATTATCGCAATAAAATCATATCGACATTCAACAGTGCTACACATTGAAATTATAACAGAATTTGTTATCATTCATATTTAAGCGAGTATGTGTGAAATGCATGTTCGAAATTGTTTCCTTCTCTCAAGGTTAGCGAAAAGATACCACTAACGAAGCTTGACGAAAAATATAATATAGTGGTGAAATACTGCGACAGAGAGATAGACAGAATATTAAAATTATTTAAAAGACAACGGGATGATCCGCCATTGCCTAGACACATGCCAGCGATCGCAGGAAGATTAACCTGGAATCATTCACTGAAGTAAATAAACGTTTAGATATATTATTATTAATATTCATTATCGTGTACTCCCGTGTACTTTCTTACCTTAATTAACAAAACTAAAATTATCAAGTCGATTCCTAGCACGATACCGCATTAATATTAATTATATACAAAAGGAAATTTTAGTAAAATTTTATACCACAGTATTACCGTCTGATAATTCTTTTATTCTTGCACTCATAATACAGTAATGTCTCTCTAATTGACGCTGAGATTGTACACAGAAAAGAACAATTTGGGAACAGGAGATACGATTATTTGAGCCTTGCACCTCGTTTTTAGAATTGTTGACAATCGGCAACTATATAAATGTGCTATATAAATCGTCTCTCCTCTTCCCAAATTGTCCATTTTTGTGCACAATCTGAGCGTCAGTTAGAGAGACATTACTGTATTTTCTACAAGATGTATGTAAATATCTAAACAAAAACTGCTCGCACGAATAAAAAAAATAAAAGCCGCATTAAACTATTAAACAATAATTAAGAGTTTCTCATTACAGAGTTCATCTTGACGAGCTGGCAGCATCGGTATTCAGTCACCCGGTGCTAAAAACTCTGCCATTGACGGTAGAATTGGAAAAACGATATAATCACGCGATCAGTGTTTTGAACCAATACAAATCGGACATCGCCGAAATCTGGACGCATCAAAACTCCTGGATAATCGAAGATTCGTTGAAACGGTAAATCATTGATTGTCGTCCCGTTGCGATCGATCGCGAATAAACCTAATCGTTTCATTGCCACGATCAGATTTTTGCTGGTGATAGACGAGAAAACGGACAAAATTAAAGTAAACTTGGACGGACGCGTTTCGCTTTTACTTCGCGAAGCCGACTGTCTAGCCAAGTTGAACCTGGAAATCCCGGTCGTGGCGTTGACGCTTCTAGCAAAAAAGGATCATTTCATTCTAATCACGGACTCCCTCCAATTGATGATCGATAATTTCGTGTCGACGGCGAGGCGAGTGAAACTGGAAGTCAGGCCGCTTTTGCTGCCGCATTTGGTTCGCGTCGGAACTTTGCTGGAACCTGGAATAGTCTCCTTGACCTGGACCAATCCGGAATGGCAGGATTTTTATCAGAACACGACGGAGCAGATCAAGGATTTTGATATTCTAATCACGAGAGTTCATGACGTGTACGATAACAGGTACGAAGCCGAGAGCTATAGAATTTAATACATGGTTTCGTAGAAATTTTAGATCAAAAGATTCGAAATAGAGGACTGCCATTTTTGTGATTCTGCGATTATGATAAATCTTNCCGCATTAATATTAATTATATACAAAAGGAAATTTTAGTAAAATTTTATACCACAGTATTACCGTCTGATAATTCTTTTATTCTTGCACTCATAATACAGTAATGTCTCTCTAATTGACGCTGAGATTGTACACAGAAAAGAACAATTTGGGAACAGGAGATACGATTATTTGAGCCTTGCACCTCGTTTTTAGAATTGTTGACAATCGGCAACTATATAAATGTGCTATATAAATCGTCTCTCCTCTTCCCAAATTGTCCATTTTTGTGCACAATCTGAGCGTCAGTTAGAGAGACATTACTGTATTTTCTACAAGATGTATGTAAATATCTAAACAAAAACTGCTCGCACGAATAAAAAAAATAAAAGCCGCATTAAACTATTAAACAATAATTAAGAGTTTCTCATTACAGAGTTCATCTTGACGAGCTGGCAGCATCGGTATTCAGTCACCCGGTGCTAAAAACTCTGCCATTGACGGTAGAATTGGAAAAACGATATAATCACGCGATCAGTGTTTTGAACCAATACAAATCGGACATCGCCGAAATCTGGACGCATCAAAACTCCTGGATAATCGAAGATTCGTTGAAACGGTAAATCATTGATTGTCGTCCCGTTGCGATCGATCGCGAATAAACCTAATCGTTTCATTGCCACGATCAGATTTTTGCTGGTGATAGACGAGAAAACGGACAAAATTAAAGTAAACTTGGACGGACGCGTTTCGCTTTTACTTCGCGAAGCCGACTGTCTAGCCAAGTTGAACCTGGAAATCCCGGTCGTGGCGTTGACGCTTCTAGCAAAAAAGGATCATTTCATTCTAATCACGGACTCCCTCCAATTGATGATCGATAATTTCGTGTCGACGGCGAGGCGAGTGAAACTGGAAGTCAGGCCGCTTTTGCTGCCGCATTTGGTTCGCGTCGGAACTTTGCTGGAACCTGGAATAGTCTCCTTGACCTGGACCAATCCGGAATGGCAGGATTTTTATCAGAACACGACGGAGCAGATCAAGGATTTTGATATTCTAATCACGAGAGTTCATGACGTGTACGATAACAGGTACGAAGCCGAGAGCTATAGAATTTAATACATGGTTTCGTAGAAATTTTAGATCAAAAGATTCGAAATAGAGGACTGCCATTTTTGTGATTCTGCGATTATGATAAATCTTTATAGTGTAATACTTTAAATCATTAGCATAATACGTGTCAAATTGTTTTGCGAAAGATGTAATCGAGTAACAATGAATTGAACACATTTCTCGAAGACAGTTCTTTATGCAACTATTTTTTAAGAAAATACAATTGTGACTAAAATGAAACAGAAACATTCTAAGAATTTAATTACACTCGTCAGAAATGCACACGTTCAACGAGAAACTACTCGTAATCTTTTTACTAAATAAAATCTAACTTTAATTAGCAAAAAAGTTACTTAATAAACGTACTTATTATTAATATTTACAAATTTAAGCAAACACAGGCACGCGGTAATTGTAAATATTCATCTTTTTTCTAAGAAATTATCTCACAGTCGAATAACCAATAATAATAACCAATCGATAAGACCACGTAGAAAATTTGACGGCAAGGGGTTAATGGGAAACGCAGTGAATTTCATTGAACCTAACTGTACAAGCTTTAAAACATAAAAATTTGTTCGCTCCAAGGATTCTAGAGGTTCTATCAAGTATGCAAAAGATCACGTTGCACATGCTACCAGAGTCCGATCAGCCGTGGACGATAGAGGAGTTTGTGGAGAAGACTGAGGAAATATGCAGACTCGCAGCAGTAGATTTATATCGCAAAAGTATGATGGTGGAAGAGGCCGTGGAGGAAGTACTCGATCTCGTTAAGAACGCCGCGGAGAACTTCAAAAGCGCCGCTAATTCCAGTCAATACGATTTTTTCAACAACGAAGGTGATACCCGACGTTTATTCCCCATCCGCGTAATGTCCTTACTCCACTCCTGTAGGAAGTTCCCTTATCATTAGACTGCGAGTTTTATGCATTTATGGCGAAGATGAGTAGCTAAAATATAAAATTGTGAAATCATAAGAACAATTTGATAACGTTGTTACACTATTTTTAATTTATCAGGATTATCGAAAGGAACAATTCATTGGTATTTAATTACTGTTTCTCGCAATCGCCTTGGAAAATTGTTATTTTCCATAAAAGTCCGCAGTGTACTCGTATCACCGCAAAAATAAGAAACCGTTATCTATTTGAACATTTTAAAAATTTTATTGCATTATGCTCGACTCGTAAGACTGATTCGCAAAAAAAACAGATGTTTATCTTGCCCCCGTGTCTTACAATCAATGCGAACGATTTTTTATATTGCATAAAACTACTCATAAATCTACTCATTAAAATTGCTGTTTAAAAATATTTGTTAGAACGTTCTGCTAAATAATACGTAAAAAGAACATAGGATTCTGTCTCAGGTCTGTAAACGTTCGCCCATAAAATGACTATCAATGATGGTCCAGTTATTCGAGTTTCAGACGCCCGAAAATTTACAAATTCGCTTTACGTCGAATCTGCAGAGACCGTGGAAGACGTTGACCAAACTGTTCAGCACGACTGGTCATTAGTCTGGAATTTATTCGACGATCCCCATCAACTGTTGACTACGCCCGGTAGTTTGCCGAAGGGTATGCAGGACATGGTGCGAAACGCGGTGTCCGAGATGAGGCGATATTATACGAGAAAAGTGGTGGACGTTCTTACGAAGGTTACCCGGAGCTCGTTGGACGCTATTAGAAAGCGTTTCATTCGGGTGATCGATCCAGGTATTTATCTGCACTGAATCAATCGGAAACGCTGCTATCGAGGCTTGCTAAACGGACGAATAAATTAATGATTATCTACGAAAAAGAACAGACACCGAGCCCGATATTTCTGCTACATGCAACCTTGATGATACCGGTGGTAACTGTGAAGCCCAGTTTAGACGATGTCCAAGAAGTACTGACGCTGGTCGGAAAAACAATCGCCGGCGTCTCGAAAGGAGTTTCGCAGTGGAATTCGCGGGTTAATAAGGTGACGCTCCGAATTTAACGTCTGTTACGTAATTATTGCCGGTTACTGTCGGATGACCAATTGCTGTGCTTTTGGTTTGTCCGCGGACACATATAACTTTACATTTATCGAATAAGACGTATTAACCCTTATAAGCGCTCCACGCGTTTCTCGAGTACTACCTACCAGCAACTCCGGTACATTTTTGGAACAAAGCGCCTGAGATAAAGGAAGTTTTATTTTGAGCGGAAAAGATTACACGTCCTTGTGAATGCATTTGATTTGATTTATTTTATAAATATACATTTTCCTATTGTAAATAAAAGATAAATTTTAAACTTTGTAATTCACCATGGTGCGATATCTTTGGTAACAATCTCCCATGTGCGTTCTGGGTTTACTTGGACAAGTGTCACAGTATTCGCTTTGCCAAATAGAGTTACCAGATATTTCTTTCAAGTTTAGAA